TCACTCCCTCGGAGTGATGGACGAGCAACTACTCATGGGCATTCCTTTATAGGTTTATGGTGAAAGTTCGGCGGTACCGCCTGATGACGTGGACGAGTTTCGAGTGGGGTTACCACAGTTGAGCCATTGATACGCCGACTGTGATATTTTCAGTACAGATGGAACAGCCTTGTATTTCAAGCAGCGCCCAGAAAGAGTATTCGGTTTCAAAGGAAAAACAGTTTCTGCGTCCGAGAAATCCAAGCAAAGGTCACGTTACTGCTTTGTGGCAGCATGATTGAAAAAACGTCATCTCCGTTACTCGTTGGAGAATTTCAAACTCCGCTAAGGTAGAGATAGAAAAAGCCTTCCCTGCCATCATAATTCTTGGAAGAATCTATGGATGACTTCCGCGTTATTTCCTAGTTAGCTGTTCGATGTCAACTTCAAGATGGCTTCTCAAAGACGCTCTATTTTGCTATTTATGGACAACTCTCCTTGTCATAACAAAGCCGCTTTATTATCCAATGTCAAATTAGTACGGCCGCATCTCAGTTGTTCTTCATTGTTGCAACCAATGGGTCAGTGTGTGATTTGGTCTTTTAAATGTTCTCTTCTGAAACATTTACTGGAATATATTTTGTCTTTGATTGAAGATGAGCATAGCATGAGATAGCATGAAACTCGAAGTGGGCATCCTCGCACGTACTGATCAATGATTTGATAAAAGCTTGGTTCAAACCCACATTGAATCAGCCGATGAAGCAGCCACCGGAGGATAACTGCGATCTGATTGAAGACTGCTAACTATCTGTCTTTTGATGAACGTCTTTCCGAAGAAATCGCCTGTGTAGCATTTGATGATGAAGACGTGGGTCATTAGATGTACTCGTTTCGAATCAAGCTAAGCGCCGCAAAGAAGATCAATGTGAAACATTGAATGCGCCGGAATTTATCTCAATTCGAGAAGCACAGACGTTACTGGATCAATTGAAGTCATTTACCTTGGCTAATGCTCGGATTTCGGGTCGATTACTGGAGTGTAAAGTTAGTCTAAACAGCTCGCTTGATGATTTCCATCGATGGGCTCCGTCGTACTAACGGGTAATTGGGTGAACGATAATCGCGACTGACTGGTAAACGGGTGTGTGGAGTAAGATATCAGATCCAAGCGATCGATACTCGCCGTTGCGCGGACGCGCCTGTGTGAATGAAATGTACGATGAGATCAGACAGGTCAAAGGTCATTTTGACTCGGGTCTGGCGCGCCCCTCACTGTTTGAGCCATGCACTTTTAATTCGTGACTAGCCTTAAAGCTTCCGTCCCTTAGGTCTACCAGTAAATGTCATCACGAATGTATTAATCGTTTTGAACATACGCTGGCAATATCAAAAGCGAACGAATGAATGGATGTCTATAGACACTAATGAGACACATTTTTCGCGGAAAATTTATGAGTAGATTGCAAAGCGAGTAATAAGTTCAGAATGCGAAAGTAGCCAATGTACTGAGTATACCCCATGGGGGTGTGATCTCCTTCGAATGCGATTTTTGTCCTGTTTTCTCATTGTTCTCCGGCTGGTTCATTCTCATTTTCAGCGAATGGGTCATGTTGTGATTATTATAGCTAAATCAGTTTTGTATTATGGTGGACGCCATGTGCTCACTTCTCTGGTCTAGCCTAACATTACAAAGGAATGGAAGAATATTTGGAATTAATATGCGGTAATTGGGTTAGAAAAAGCTCCCATGAATTAAAATAGTTAAATTCGGGATAACTGAACACTTAAGTATTGGGAACAAGTAACGAAATTAGCGTACTTTTCATCGATCCGGTTTATTTTGTTATTAAACTCTCAACTGATTTTTCACACTGCCTAATAGTGCCTACTACTGACTAGCATGCTATGTCGCAGTTCCTGGAATTTACCCACTTTTTCCGATTCCCGAGAAGTGCGACATAGCAGAAGGTTGACTATAGTGTGTTCACTGTTCAGTGTAATTCAAATGGTCTCATTCATCCTGTCTGATCCAGGTCGAATCAGTTGAACTGGCTTTAAAGATCCTCGACGGGATGGTATATGCCCCGGGTTACACGCTTCATGTGGAACGAGCGAAATTCCAACCCAAAGGGGAATTCGATCCGAAGAAGCGACGACGACTGACGCTGAAGGAGAAAAAGAAGCTTCGAGAACAGCAGGAAAGGTAAAAAGTCCCCCCCCCCACGTTAACCCGTTATTTTGGTTAAGCAATCTGAGCAGTTGAGTGACTTTTGCTATCGGCTGATCTTGAAATGCTTGAAGGGACTGCTTCCAGCTTTTGACATTGGTTGATTGGCTATTCGTCAGGTGACCTATTTCCATAGTTGCTGATTCATCACCCTCTTGAAGAGTTGAATATTGCTCTGCTGTGGCGAAACCTTCAGTAGGGCACCTTGAGCAATTGCTTTTCAGTAATCGGTTCTTTCGATGAATCTTCTTAGTTGAGAAAATAGTTTTATTCATTGTGCGATTATCTCTCCCATCATCGGGTTTGTTTACTCTATTTGAGATATCTTGATGAGAACGTGTTTCACATTTGATAATTATTCCGTTCTGAAATTTCTTTTCATTTTTGCATGAATGGTCAAAGTCTCCATGTCCAGGTATCCGTAGAGTGTTTAAATATCAAAGTCGATCATGTCAGTGTCATTTGTTCCATGTGCCAAGATTACGTTCTGTGATCGTGATACGCGACTATTGGTCTATTGCGGCTGGGGATTGATTCACGCTGCGTATTTTTCTGGCGCACCCCTTGTGTCTGTTGTGTGTGCACGCGGCCTGTTTCGAGCCCTGATTGGTGTCTCCAACCGCCCCCCCGCGGCTACCCACCGAATCGCGCAGATTTGTGTCGGTTACGTTTGTGCACTTTCGCAGCTGTCCGTGTGTTTTCCTTCTCCTGTGGTCTCAGTATGTGTTACTGTTTTTGCTACACAACGGCTAAGAAGTTTACTTTCACTGACCCTTAGGAGAGCCGATCTATACTTTCTATTTTTCTGTACCATTTCAGTCAGTGAATGAAAATCGAGTTTTACCTATCCACGGGTGATCTGTTCCCACCGCCGCGCTGCACATAACAGACACACACTGCATGCCTAATTTTGTTCCATCGTTCTTGTTTTGATACAGCCTTTTCCGCTGGGGCATCGACACCAGTAAATTTGTACGCGGTAAGAAAGAGCGTGTACTCATTCTGAAGAACGCCTTCGTCGAAACTGACTTCCTGGTAAGCGATAGCNATCCCTGTTTCTTCTCCCTACGCTATGTCCGCATTATTCACACGCATCTGAGGACAAAATATGAGCTTCCTCGATTGATTTTCCATTTGCATAGAACACCTATTACACGAGTGCCTCGTCAGCTTCGCGTCAAAACCATTTTGCTCTTAGATGAAACCAAAGTGAATGTGAATCATGTCTTCAGCGCCCACCGTTTGCTTGAGGTGATATGTAACCAAGACTCATCGAAGTGTATTGGTCACCTTGGACGTTTGATTCTGTCCAAATGGCGTATGATTTGATAAACTAAACAGCGGCCTCCAGTGGATCACGTATACCGCCTCGCTACC